GGTGTTTGGGTAGAGCCAGGTGGTGATTCCCTTGTCAACTGGAGGAAAATGGCAGGCAGGGCAATGCTAACTTGATTAGTGAAGTCAGTTCAAACAGAGCCCAATTTTTTATGAAGCTTAGCTCTGCATCTCTAATAACCAGAAAACCAAAAAAAAAAAAAAAAAAAAAACACAAAACAACAACAAAAAACAAGCAAACAAAAAAACCCCAGAAGCTGTGTAAGGTTAAGCTGTTAACTCTGTTACTAGGTAGATTGCTAATTTCCCAGTACTTGGATCTGACATTAAGCCAGGTACAACGTTGGAAGGATGAAATTCTCAACAAATGGAGAGAGATATGTCGACATCCAAAGATTTACACAGACCTAAATTCAAAACTCTGTCACAATTCAAATTGGAAGTTCTTTAAACAGATGGTAAGAAATCAAGGAAAATTGAAGTCATGTCTTCTTTTTTGTGCATTTATCAAAGTTGGTGCCAGAGAGAAGCTGCAGAGCCAGCTGAGATGTGTTGTTGTCTGAAGTATTTCAGCAGGGTGCTGAGGAGAAAGGGAGAAACCTGGGTTTATCTGTCCAGCTTCCCCCTCCAAACAGTCTGTTCTGGTTGTTCTAGACCCTCCGCAGCCAGGCCACACACCCTGCCTGAAGTTAGCCTAGTAAACCAGCAGAGAGGGAAGCACATAGCACTTAGTTTTTCACAGGGCGCTAAACTCTTGTTGAAGAGCTGATGCTGATCCAGAAGGACTGGGGGGGATATGAGATTCTGCTTTTCTGACCTGTTTCCATAGGAGGTTGCTGTTACTGGCTGCATTTTGACTGTAAAGGCCCTGTGTTATTTTAGCCTCACTACAGGTTTTGTTAAACATTGCTGATCTGACCAAATGTAGAACCAGGACTCACCAAATGACTTCCTACTGACAACTCACTCCCTGGGGTCTCCTGGTCCTTTGCTACTTTCGGGGAACAGGGGTGGGGGGAAGAACTCCATAGGCAAGTGATTTAAGCTCTGGAAGCCTTGGATGTTCATATGTAAATGAAGGTGGTAACACATGCACCAACTTGCACAAAGCATTTTTGTGTGATCAAATGAGACAGCATCCTTGCTGGTGTCTAGAAACTCTGGAATACCATGGAAATGCAAGGAACCCCACTGCACTTTAGCATCCTGTGTGGGTTTTGTGGAAAGATGAAGTTTTGCAGTGGTCTATTTACAACACAAGAGTGGGCCTTAAAGTGATGCTGACCTCTTGGATGTCATATCAACTTGGGGCCCTACTGGCTGCACAAGGCATCGTAGATCAGACCAGGGCTGCTGCCAGTTGGGCACCAGTGTGTGAAATGAATGAGAATGTGGAAACCTCCCACCCCAGCTGTCCTGGGTTTTCAGCACTATGCCTGTGGCCTCCCCAGTGAGCACCTCTGAAGCCTCCAGGAATAAAGTGAGCCCTTCCTTCTCTTGCTGACAGCTGGCCTCAGGGATGCCCTAAGCAAGCAGTGGTGCCCAGTCCCCAGGAGTGCTCTGGGCAGAAATGTGGATGGGTGCGGCTGCAGCAGGGCCTGCCTGGGGCTCAGCTCCCAGGGCCTCATCTCCCAGGGGTTTCCTGCACTTGGGCACTGGGAGTGGTATAGGAAGGAGGCCCCGTCAAGTGTGTGGACCTGGACAGATGATAGAGAACAAGTGTAACAATACACCTCACAGCCCTTGGGACCCTGGGACAGGAAGATGGCTTCCTGCCACACCCCCTGCAACAAGCAGAAGCAGAACTGGAGTTCTGTCAGAAAACCTTCCATGAATTCTACCCGCAGCGACCTTTTCATAATCAAATACTAGGGCCTTATGATTTCAGGAGGTTGCCAAAAAAAAAAAGTGAATGATACAGTGGAGACAGATGTTTTCCTCTGCCCTGTACCTGTATTGTTTCCAGCTTCTGTAAATTTCATTTCATAAATACAGAGTGTTGGAGACCAGCTCCAACTTTTGAGGTGTTTGGAGGCAACA